CAAATCTTTCCGCCGAAATTCCGTAGTCTAAGTTTCGGAAGCTTCGCTCTTATGATTTTACCCGCACTTGATATTGAAACATGACTTTGATCAAGGTTTCCTTCGGCTGATGTGAGATTCGTTGACGTCAATAATGGCAAGCTTTGTCCTCCGAGTTTTCCTAGCGCGTCATCGAGTTGAAGCAACGTTCTTTCCAATTCTGCGATCGCTTCGTCTGAATCCTCGATTTCTTTGCCAAGTTGTTCGTCAGCGTCTTCGTCTTTCGATGTGCTGAGTATATCAATAACATGTTGATCGAGCTCCTTCAACATTTTGATTTTGTCACGTAATGTGATCTGGCTTTGTCTCAGCCATACTAAGTCCTTCTCTGGGCTTGCTGTCGGTATCGCTTCAACCATCTTTGCCACAAGCTTACTTGCCGATGCTCTGTGGCCTCCTCTAACCCGCTTTTTCTTCGTCAGATTGTCCATGTGTCAAACTTTACGCAAATCTTTCCACCATCGACGGCAGCGCAAATATCAAACGTTCTTTGTTCGCAGCCTCGCACACAATTCACAAATCCGGTTCGATCGGACCACTGTTTTGCAGAATTTTCACTTTGATCTCCGCGCACACTGGTTCACACACAACAACATTCAGGGGACTGTATTCTATCAATTTATTTTATTGGAAAAATTTTCTATGCACAACGCGATTTCAGACTTCCTCGTCTCGCTACGATCTGATCACAACCGAATTTACATATTAGCCTCTGTCAATAATAGTATTAAATTACAAGGAATCACTGTGACGTATTTTAAGCAATATTATACATATATTTACATCAAGTATAGCAGAAGCAACTGCTGTGTGGAAAACTGGCGGCACTGCGCTGGGAACTTACAACAGACCTTGCCGGCGATTTTTAATTACAGAGCATAGATCTGTGGCCAATGCTCTGGAAGATAAAGCTGGAGGAAGCACGGGAACTGTGGGCACTGGTCGAGGTGTGTCTCTGCTGCCCGTACGGCAATGCATGCGGTCTGCGAGTCGTTCATCTCGTAGTTGCGTGTAGTCAAATCTGGCTGGCGCAACAGGTTGAACGTACGCAACTTGACTGACTTAATGCGCAATAAAGTGATAGGTCCAACCCTGCACGTTTTCCGTGAGCGTTTTTGTGAGCTTGATGTGCACCTCTGGAATAGTGATAAATCACGGAAAAACCGAAGACAATATGCTGTAAATTAAAAGGACAAGGGGGAAGAATTCCTTAGAGATTGGTTGAAAGACGTTGGAGCTGTGGGCGAACAGGAATCGGAGAGTGAGGAAAATGAAGAGAAGATGGAAGCTGATTTATCGAGGAAGTTGCCACAGAACCGGTCACGTACGAAATCCCACTAGTTACTTCTGCTCAGTGGGAGTTGTCGAACAGCTCCAAAAACAGTGGTCGTGAAAACCCTCTCGTGGGCGGAATGGGAAGCAGTGACTCTGAGTTACCGTGACTGGTGATTCCAACTAAACTATAGTACTCTAGTGTTCTATAGTGGGTCAAGTGAGAAGAATCCAAAATGAACTGAGCACCAGATCTTGTAAACGGTGACGGATTTTTAGTCGTTTACGACGTATTTATTTAACTTCCCTACAAAAAGTTTAAGTTCGGTTCTATTAAGCTATGAAAACAACAATATTTTCTTATTGTTTTGAACTGATTCACATAGAACTTGTTAATGTTTTTTCCTACCCCAAATAAAATGTATTGCAGCTGTGTTCTTACAAATGTTGTGTTGGTTTACATCACTATTATTTGGCCTATGCCCACTCTAGAACATAACTAAACTTTGGTTGGAAAACAGCCAGCAAACATTTCACCTAAAAAAAACAGTCTAAAAACATTTGACATATATTCAGCAAGTTATTTCCAACCCTGTTTAGCACGGTGCAAAAAATAAAATTGTTCAAAATAATGTCGAAGTTTGCCGACCCATAATAGCCACAAGCAATCGAGTACTCATACAGTAAAGTTTTAACAAATATTGCCGCTCAGAAAAATGAAGGCTGAGAAGCAAGAGCCCTTTTGAAATGGCTGCCCCCGCCGCTTCACATTGCTTCCGGCGCCCCTGCTTGAAACATTCAGACATCCCTTTAAGTTAAAGGCCAGAAAGTCAAAAGTATTGTGTAAATAAACACATTACTTGTTGCTGCCGAGCCTCAGTGAGGCAGCACACTATTCTCGACAGTACCAGTCTTCGCGCGCCGAGTTTAGTAGACCAGCTTGAATCTCGATTTTTTGTGTTTGTATGTCAGCAATTCAGGGGGGGTTACGAAAATCAGTTATGCTTGCCGGGCGCACAGAAAGCAGTGACAGGAAGATGCACATGTGTTTCTTTTATATGACTTTTAAAAAAATACACAACCTGACGCTGTCTACAAATTATAGCAATTTTTATCCGAGGGAACATTAATCAAGGCAATGACTGTTTTGATGTCAAGTCTAGAGTTAAGCGGTGTACGTGCCTTTAATAGTTTACTGGGGCTCTTTAACATCCAATAAAAACTTTTTAGGCCTCGCTTGCTTGTTGTTTCTATAAATGCGTTCGTCACATGAGAAGCGCGACGTTTGAAACAGGCCTTAGTTAACTCAATGGTCACCAACGATATTAAAATATAGTATTTTATCATAAAGCGACAAAAGGTATTAATAAAAGCGATGAATAATCGGGCTTATCATTTGATTCATTTGCCACCGTGTTTCGTGTATTTGTCCGTGAGAGACCTACCAAAACTTTAAACTTGTTATTGTATCGTGTTTGGAGAATGAGTTCACTGTTCACTTTCGATATTTGTTGTCGATCTGAGCAAAATATTGATTTGCTTACTGAAACACACAGCATTGAACAGCCAATTGTGGTGAATGATGCTAAACTGTCTGTTGTGGTCAGTGATATTGGACCGCCTGTTGTGATGAGCGACATTAAATTGCCCATTGTGGCTCAGAAAAAAATGTACCTGCTGACTCGACGAATAATCTCTTTAATGTTTTAAATAAAACATCAAATGTTACAACAAATAATGAGGAATTAATTTGTGAAATTGATTGAGAGACGGACTTGGGACATTTGTTGCATTTTGAATGTTACTTGCAAAAATTGGTAAGAAAATTGGTTGTTGTTCTCAACTCCCAAGCCACGCCTCCGCAGGAAAAATCCGACGGTAAAATTTGGCGCGCTTGCAGGGTATCCAATTCCGTCTCTCCACTATTCTCTCATATTTTTGCGCCTTTTTTGACCACTCGCATGCATCGCTATTATCAACCCCCTGAGAGACGAACTTAAACCAAGTCTAGTATTCCTTTAACAGTTAATATACTGTATGATATTGACATTTTCAAGAA